AATTGTCCCAAATGTCTTGGTGTGCTGATGTCTTAAGAGTTCATCTGTTGTGCCAATGTGAAGGCCACACCAAGTTTGGAGGTCTGTAACTATTGGCTCTGCAGACGGTTGATGACTTCTGCAAACTGTGCGCTTCAGCATGCGCTGACCCTGCTCTGTCATGTGACGTGGCCGACCACTTCGTGGCTGAGTTGCTGTTTTTCCCAGTTGCTTCCACTTTGTTATAATCCCAGTAACAGGTGACCGCGGAATATTTAGTAGCAAGGAAATGTCACGGATGGACTTATTGCACAGGTGACAACCTATCACGGCACCTCGCTTGTAGTCGCTGCGCTCCTGAGAGCGACCCATTCTTTCACAAATGCTTGTAGAAGCGTCTGCATGCCGAGGTGCCTCATCCTATACACCTGTGGCTATGGAGGGGATTGGAACACCTGAATCCAATGATTTGGAGGGGGGTCCCTATACTTTTGGCAATATAGTGTATATAAATCTGTTGTACTCTTATTATTGATGTCGGTGAAGGAATACTTGATGGCTATAGGAGTTTGACTGGATGCCATTGTATCCGATTTTTTTTTGTTTTTTTTTCCTGTCCTAGGGTGAACATGCACGTTCACACTTCTATACCTAGGCAGGATTGTCGCCCTAGGACAGGACTACAGATGCCTCCCCCCCATCTCTATAACATGGGCGGTATTTTATCCATAAAGACAGCTGGAGACAATGTAACTAAAAACAGCACAGGAAGTGATCCGCTCACAAGATTTTTGGCAGGATCAACAAAACACTTTCAATGGTCCAGGTTGACGTTAACACTACATAGTCAGTGGAAGCACTTAATCAGATTCCAAGGTGCGTAGTCAGATTTGCTTTAAAAAAAAGCTTTTCTTTTGTACAATTTGGATCTGGATTAATTTTTCTGTATTCTTTGATGATAAAATGATACAAAGTGAGATTTGATTTGTTTGTTTTTTGTCTAATTGACGAGCAGATAGAAAGGTGAAGCAGCATCTACATAGGATGGCGGGTAGCAAGCAGGGAACCGTACAGTCATCTCGGAGCCGGCACCCCCTCAGAGCTTCCCACTTCCCCTTCTGTAGAAACAGGAAGTTCTATTTTAAACCCCTTTTAAAGGGCACCAGCCGTTCATTGTTACGGGAACGGAGTATAAATGTTTCATTTTAACGGGTAATGGAGAAAATACACGACCTCGGCTGCCTGCATTATCTTTGTGCCGTAGCCTCGGTATCCCAATTTGTGTTCCAGATTGCTTGAGCAACCTCTACAGAGGGGCTAATGTCCTGAAATGGGCGACTTGGCAAAAGGTTATGACTTGGAGACAAACTAAGACGTGTTATGTTACCTCAATGAAGGTCAGGCTGCTGTGCAAGGACAAGCGAAGGAGACCATCTGTCTCCGAATCTGGTTATCCCACCCAAAAATTATATTGTGGGTAAACTTTGCTGCACTGAAACACTTATATTTACTTCCGTTGGCAGAAACTAAACCTGTCACGTAAAGTATAGCTAGCGCCAAAATCTTATTTATTTTGGATAGAGTAAGGGATGGTTAAACACTAGACCGCCGGAACCAGCTGCTGTAGAACAAATGCACACCATTCTATCTACATGTTCATCAATATTTTCAAAGCCCTAAAGAAGGGTGACCTGATGACCCTGAAACGCATTGGCGATTATATGTGGACCTTCTCTGATTAATTGGTATAAAACCTTCTCTTGGGACTCTGGATGTGAGGCTCCATTCTTTGTCTCTGTAGGCTTTTTGGCCATCGTTGTCCACATTGGAGAGATGTTCTTTTGCTTCCTGTAGACGCCACAGGAAGTGAGCTACTTTCCATAGTGAGTGACGTGCTCTCTTAGACTGTTGTCTCTGGACAAGTGTCCCCATTGGAGGATTTCCCTTCTATTCCTGTCCTGGTAACACACAATGTTTTCTGTCCCAAAAGCAATGGCCACCAAATAAGAGTAAAGCCTCGTTCACACCAGACACGGTGTGTTCCGGCCCGAGTCTGGCCAGATCGCACTGCGGCCGGCTCACTATGTTGTGGGGCAGGCGGGAGCGTGCTGGTCCATTTTGAAGTGAATGGCACCGTAGCCACGCCCTCTGGCGCAATGCGATTGGCCGCATGGGAACGCAAGACACATTATGCCTGCAGTCTGGACCGAGCCAAATAGGGCTTGCAGCATTTTGTTCCGACCGGACCACAGGCATAATGTGCCTTGCGTTCCTGTGCGGCCAATCCCATTGCAGCCGGAGGGCGTGGCTACGTTGCCATGCCCCCTCCTGCCCAATAACACAGTGAGCCGGCCGCAATGCGAAGCAGTGCGTTCTGGCCAGAATCGTGCCGCTAAACACTGTGTCTGGTGTGAACGGTCAATCTCCACAGTGGAGACCCAGACAGCCATAGAGACCTGTCAGGTGTCCTCACACCTTATCAGTCCATCCAAAACAAAAAAATGATGCACTGTAAGTCAGCACAGACTCGGCAGTACCATGTATGTATCAGCTACTCTGGAGTCTATGAAGACTTCATCTGGAAGGTTCTTCTTTCATGTCCTAATTGTGTCTTCAGGCCTCCGGTTGAGTAAGATGGTGCCAATGTATTTTGGCTCCGTTTGGTGTTTTTTGATGGATGACTTATTTATATTAGACACTTTGTAGAATTCACATGTTTTAGGTGGAACATAACTCTAGCAGTCTCTTGACTCCATTGGTGAGATCTCTGTGGTTGGGTTTCCAGGTCTACAGGCCTACCGTAGTGATTGAGCCTGGAGCCCCATCTCCTTGTTGGGTTTTGAGCTTGTTTTGTATCCTGTAGTAGTAATGAAGGGTGAGAACAGAGCCAGCAATGGGGAGATCTCCCCTCTGGAGTTATAATCAACCAGTCCGTAACAAAGCCCACCAGTTTCCAAAACCATTTACCATTTTTAAGTTGGCTGACACTCTGAAATGTATCTCTGTTCGAACTTATTTTATGCCTTTTTTGGAGAGATCTCACTTCCTGTTCAGATAGCAAACCTGAGAGGGAATCTTCCCATAGAGAGTTGTCACCAGAACAGGAGTCGCCATTTTAAGATTCCCTTCGCCTCCTCTTCTGGTGACAATTGTTAGATTTTAGAATGTTGTATCTCGGGGACAATGGTCACCAGGACAAATGTGAGATCACCCCCCTCAGTAGTAATAAGAACCACAAGAAGAACCATGATAAATGGGGTTGAGTCACGCTCAGTCTTTTACAATCCTGGTGGTAAACTGAACAGTACAGAGACCTCTCCTACACCATTGGAGCCCCTCCGTAGGGTCATGGATAGAGACTTGAAGTATACAGGCAAGCAGAGCTGAAAATGGGCCCATGAGATCGTGGGACACAAATTGTTTTTTTTGGTTAAATATGTTGGTGGTTAAAAAGGGCGAGTTGGCAACGTGTTGAAACATGTTGGCGATCAGTCTTTTGATAAGGAAATTTGTTGCATCTGGCAGACCCATTTTTGGCGCTCTCCTTTCCCTGTATAGTCCAAGCAATAAAAACCTTCCAGGAGTTCTAAACGTTTCCTGCCCTATGTTACAAAATTGGTTAGAGATGCACCATAAAGATGAACTCCAGGTGAAATTATTCTGCATACTTCCATTGGCCCAGCTCGGTCCTGATTGGCCAATCGGAACCTCTAAAGCACTGTAGTAGTCGGCGTTACTACAGTGCATACTCTGAAAACACAGGTTGTCACTTGCTCGGCACAGAGGACATCTAGTATTTTTATCAACGGATACAAGGCATTCTCTGAGTGGGCAAGGAAGTTTTATTTTGTCATCACCACCCCTCGTCTAATCAGAACGCCTTGAATTCATTGAAAAAAATAAAAAAATACTAGATGTTCTCTGAATGGCCGCTGTGCCGAGCAAATGACCCCCCCCCCCCGTGTTATCAGAGGAGAAGACACTCAGCACAGCGCCATACAAGAAGCGGATACTACAGTGTAGGGATGCACCGATACTAGTGCCGATACCGAGTATTTGGGCGAGTACTCATACTTACCCAAGTGCACCGATACCTTCCCTAATACTGGAACTGCCGGTCAGAGAAGATTTCCTCTGACCGGCAGTGCTGTAAGGGAACGTGGAGCCGGCTTTCCGTGCAATCAGGAAGCCGGGTGGCGAGTAATGACCCGCCTCCCGGCTTTTTGATTGGCCGGGAAGCTGGCTCGATGCTGATTGGCTGGGAAGCCGGTTTCCTGCCCAATCACAATCGAGCCAGCCAAACAACATGGAGCTGGCTTGCCGGGCAATCGGGAAGCCGGGTGGCATGTAATGAAATGCCGCCCGGCTTCCCGATTTGCTCTGGAAGCTGGCTCCATGCCAGTGGAAGCACCGGTATCGGTACTCTGTACCGAAAACCGGTAACGGTGCATCCCTACTACAGTGCTTTACAGGATCCCCGTGGACCGATCAGGTCTATCATAGGAATGCTCACCTCGGGCCAAGCTGGACCAATGCAAGTAAATTATACCCGGAGTTCACCTTTTTAAGACTTAAAATTATAAAATTTTGGCCTCTGCAAAATTTAAGATTTGCGATCACGCGAGTCACGTGACGCTCGCCGTTCCATAAGGAATAAGGCGCGGATAGAAAATAACCCGGCTTATTGCAAAGAGCAGCGCAAAAAAATAAACCCCTGCAGCAGCTCACAGCAACCAGCAAGGTGGTACAGGCAAAAAGATGACTTCTGATTGGCTGGCTGCTGTGGGCGAATGCAAATCATTCTTTGCGTTGCGAAATAAGCCAAATAATATCTCCCCCGCTCCTGTCCAGGATTAACCAAGGCCTGAGCACTCATCCCACCATCTCCCTCCAGATTACTCTACTTAGACTTCATATTCCTCTCTACTGCATGAGAACGGGCTGAAGGTCCCAACCGACCTCTAATATACATTATTATTGTTTTTTTCTTTTCCGATCACATTCGCTGTTCTGATCATCAGGGGATGTCCTTTTCCAGATGGCAGAAGTTCACCGGCAGATCCAGAACCAGCTGGAGGAAATGGTAAGTGAAAGTATTTATTATTATCAATATTAGTTGTATATCTTGGTACACCTACCCCTTCTCTATGTCCTGGCACCCTCTTGGTACACCTACCCCTTCTCTCTATGTCCTGGCACTATCTTGGTACACCTACCCCTTCTCTGTATGTCCTGGCACCATCTTGGTACACCTACTCCTTTTCTATGTCCTGGCACTATCTTGGTACACCTACCCCTTATCTCTATGTCCTGGCACTATCTTGATACACCTATCCCTTCTCTGTATGTACTGGCACCCTCTTGGTACACCTACCCCTTCTCTCTATGTCCTTGCACTATCTTGGTACACCTACCCCTTCTCTCTCTGTCCTGGCACCATCTTGGTACACCTACCCCTTCTCTCTCTGTCCTGGCACCATCTTGGTACACCTACCCCTTCTCTCCATGTCCTGGCACTATCTAGTTACACTCACTCTGAGGATAAAATGATGAATGTTGCCTTTGCGTTGCCCGATGGCGTATCTTCAGTGTCGGTCTTCGCGGCCATCGTGATAAATCCTGACAGCTCAGCATTCTCTGCTCTGCTCGCCCTCCCTCGCTTCCCACCTGCCGATCAGTGTGTCTGCTCCTTCTCCGTATGTGCCGCCATCTGTTTCCTCTCATCCCTCAGTAACACTTCAGCCTCATCCTTCCGGGCGGACCTGTCAGCGCGTCTTATTCCTGTCCTGGACTCCTGCGGCCGACAAACTCCGTGTCTGCGGCTGGCACGCTGGCTGCTGATGTCATGCACAATGCCAAGCCAAGAGATCCATGGAGTGCGCTCTGCAGCCCCTCTGAAAAACCAGGAGCGAGTCTGACTATTGGATACCTGTAAAAAGCAGATGAAGGCATTGTCAGGGGTAGGGGGGGAGCGCTGTCATCTCTGCGAGAGGTGATAAATACCTGGGAGGTCACACTGACGCATTACGCTTAGTGACGCAGATATCCTGCAGCCTCTTTGCAGCCACTTCATGTGTACTTACACTCCAGCAATGGCTACAAGGCTGGGTTTCCTGAAGGTAACATCAATAAGCCATGTCTGTATAATGTGTGCTGATATGATGGCCAATCTGCCACATCTGGAATGCAGAACAGTTAATAGCATTGATTAATATATGGAGGCGGAGTTCCCCTCTACAGCTCTTTCTGTATTTCTTCTTCGTGTGCGGAGTAATAGTTTCTTCTCCTTTACTTTCCAGCTGAAATCTTTTCACAATGAACTGCTGACGCAGCTGGAGCAGAAGGTGGAGCTGGACTCGCGGTACCTGAATGTAAGTTGTATATTTTTACCCATCGCCTGGCTTCCCGATTGCCCGGGAAGCCGGCTCCATGTTCCCTCATGGCACTGGCGGTCAGAGGAAACCTCCCCCTGACTGGAAGTTCCAGTATCGGGGGTAAGTATCGGAGCATTTGGGCGAGTACAAGTAGTTGCCCAAATACTCGGTATTGGTACTGATACCGATGCTAGTATCGGTATCAGTGCATCCCTAACACCTTCTAATTTCTTCCTCCTGCTCCTCCTCCTTCACGACCTAGCACCATCTTGGTACACCCACCCCTCCTATGTTTTGGCACCATCTGGGTACAGCTATACCTCCTTTTCATTGCCTGGTACCACCTTGCTACACCCACCCCTCCTATGTCCTTGCACCATGTAGGTCCACCCACTCTCCCTCCTCCATGACCTAGTACCATCTTGGTACAACCACCCATTCTATGTCCTGGCACCATCTGGGTACACTTATCCATCCTCTTCCTGGCCTAGCACTATCTTGCTACACTCACCCCTCCTATGTCCTTGCACCATCTAGGTACACCCACTCTTCCTCCTCCATGACCTGACACTGTCTAGGTGCAGGCACTCCATGACCTGGCACCATCTTGGTACACTCACCCCTCCTCTGTCCTTGCACCATCTAAGTACACCCACTCTCCTTCCATGACCTAGCACTAAGTACAGACATTCCTCTGTGCCCTGGCATCATCTTGGTACACCTACCCCTTCTCTCTATATATTCTGGCACCATCTTGGTACACCTACCCCTTCTTTCTATGCCCTGCCACCATGTTAGTACTCCTACCCCTTCTATCTATGTCTTGGTACACCCCCTCTCTACCTCCCTAATTCTGTCCATTCTTCGCAGGCGGCTTTAAAGAAATATCAGCTGGAGCAGAAGAACAAAGGAGACGCCTTGGAGAAGTGTCAGGGGGAGCTGAGGAAACTGCGCAAAAAAAGCCAGGGCAGCAAAAACCCTCAAAAATATTCCGACAAAGAGATGCAGGTGAGATTTCAGCTTTTATTATACAAGGCAAACATACCCGAGTCCTGCTGCAGGTCGGCATTCTGGTAAACTAGAGCTGCAGCTAACGATTATTTTCAAAATCGATTAATAAACCGACCGGAAAATATTAGTAAAAGGTCAAAACAGAAATACAATGTAATTGCTTGTTCATGTTGTGTCGTCCTTGGACTGACGAGCTGGTCAACCATGACCCCCCTCCCACCCTGAACAGAGATGTCAGCTTTGGGTGGACGATCCCTTTCATTAAGTGTTTGAACCACCATCAGACCTCGCGGAGCCTCCATACTGTATTTATAAAGCTTCTTGGCTCTTCTGCCGGAGGGAATGGCTTCTAGTTGTCATTATTTGCCCATTTGAGGTAACCAGTGTCGGCAAATCTACAGCTGCCATTCACTTAAAGGGGACATGTCAAGGGTGCAATGACTTGCTTGCTGCCTCATGTTGGTTGCCTGGCTGTGATATGTCAAAGTCAATGGCAGAGAACAAGCGGCTAATAAAAAAAAAAAAAAAAAGCCGGAAGTCCTCACTTCTATGGTGGTTCTGTGTCGGGGACTGTGGAAACCGTATGGCCAGCAGAATAGCCAGGAGGAAGACTTGGCAATGGCTGCCTTCATATTTCGCTCGTGATGGGTTTGCTTGTCAAGGTTTAAAGAGTTTACACTGCCGTTCACAATTATTTAGGGAGGAAGGCCAGAGGATGGACATGACAGCCAGAGATTCACTGAGCTGGAACACTTCTGCAGGTCGGGAGTTTAGAATGCAGCAGCTGTATACTCGTTCCGGCTCAGCGACCCGCAGCCGGTTAGAAGTTGGCAATGAAGATACAGATGTTCCTCTACGTAATGAAAGGTGGTGGTGGGGGGCTACTGAAAGGAGCCTGTCGGCAATTAACTTTTGAGCAGATGCTGCAAGATGGTCGCTATCACCTGAGCACGTTATCCCTTGTGACTCTCTGAATAAAGTTTCAGTTACTCAAGACCTGGATCCAGGGCTCAGCCTTGACAACTACTGTCCGCGTGGCTCAGTGGTCAGGAAGGGCGCTCTTGTAGGATATTGGCAATGCCTATTCCTGGGGTAGGCAACCTCTGCACTAGGCAAGAACTAGGAGCCAATGGGACACTAGCGCTATGCAGATGTGCCACCAGGAGGAGGAGAGAGCAGAGTAATGATTTAGAGCAGGGGTAGTCAAACTTCGGCTCTCCAACTGTTGTGGAGCTGCAAGTCCCATGAAGCATTGCAAGACTGACAGTCATAGGCATGACTCCCAGCCAGAGGCAGATGCATTATGGGATTTGTAGTGTCACTAGAGCTGGCGTGCTGAGGTTGCCTACCCGTGGACTAGTCTATTCTCTTATGTTATGGACATGTGTGGGAGGTGTTCTGTAGTCCAGCAGGACTGACAACCCTGCTTGGGGCTGACCAAAAGGGGTGCAGTGTTGGTGGCTCACAGAGGATGTGGAGCTCACCAGATTCCTGGCAGGTCAACAGGTACTTGCAGTGTGTGTGGGTAAGGATAAAACACGGGAACTGTGCGTGTATCTCAGGGACTTCATGTACATATCACATGTGCGGTTGTTTGATTTTCACTCAACATCATAATCTGAGCCCACCTGTGACACTGAGACTGTCACAGGTCGGCTCAGTAGATCGGGAAGTGAGCGATCACATACCGGCGCTCGCTCACTTCGCGATCTATACTACGGCTGCGGTGTCTCAGTATACCGCTAGCTGTTGCTTGCGGTATACTGAGCTTTGGGTGACGGGATTACGCTAGTTTGTGTCCTCCCGTTACCCTTAGGAGAACTATGGGGAAAAACACTGACCCCATAGTTCTCCTTTAAGACGCGTCTTCAGGCTGTTATAAGCCGCCCTGTGTGTGAAACGTTCCTCCCGGCCGGGGTGAGGCTCAGAGCGGCAGATGGAAGCAAATAAGTAGGTGATTATGTAGTTGGATTATGCCGGGCAGATCATTCATATTTAAATAGCGTTACACTCTAATTGGTCCCTCAATTCCACTGGAAGTCACACCGGCCGATTCGGCTCGGTTCACCGGCTTGTCGCCTTCACTGAGGAGGGGGGGGCGGAGGGTTTAAATATTTTATCTTTGTTTTTCAATGTCGCAGGGATGCACACCTTAAGATGGTCAAGCATATGTGATTGGGGTGTATAGGGGTGCTAGAACCCTAAAGCAAATTTTATGGTGGGAACTCATACCGTGACTCTGGTGCTTCAAACCACAGTGCTAGCCAAGGGTGCTTTTTTGGTATCAATGTTTATCCAGCAATATTCCACTTGAACGGCCTCTTGGCCTAGAAGGTATTTGGGGCTCATTAATGTCACCTGCGGTGCTCAATACAGTCCCAGCACAAGGACAAGCCTTGTACTCAATGGTGCAAGTTCACACCAACACCCAATGTTATTGGCGTTCTTTGCATAGTTGGTGTAGGGAACGCCCCCAGAAATGTCACTTCCTGCTTCTGTGATTGGGCGACTGATTTTCCCAGAAGTCTGCTCTAAGATGCAAAGTAAAATTTCAGGCATCCCCTGCAATAGCAATTGCATTTTTGGTGAAATGCTCCCTAAGAAGTCATTGCTACTAAAGGGATGCCGACATTGCACCTTTCCTCATTGCAACACAGAAGGTCCACCAGATGATTATAATGGACCCTCTCATTCAGGGGTCACACTCCCTCCCCATCCCAATTCGGGGTCACCCCCACTCCCAGTTAGATGTCACCCCCCCCCCACCCTATTTCGAGGGGCCCATCACCCCC